CACACATCATTACCACAGAAAACATTGGAATAAACACACATCGTTAACACAGAAAACATTGGAATAAACACACATCATTAACACAGAAAACATTGGAATAAACACACATCTTTAATACAGAAAGCACTGTAATAAACACACATCGTTAAAACAGAAAAATTGGAATTAACACAGAAAACACTGGAATAAACACACATCTTTAACACAGAAAAATTGGAATTAACACAGAAAACATTGGAATAAACTCGCATGTTTAACACAGAAAGCACTGAAATAAACTCACATCTTTAACCCATAAAACATCATTATAAACACACATCTTTAACACATAAAACATCATTATAAAGACGTATCTTTAACTTACTTTAATATATTTCAATTTATTTATATTCTACACTCCAGTTTAAAAAAGTATTGTAGTTGTAACATATTAATCCTGGAAATAAATAAAAACAGTGTAAATCTGTACCCAGAAAGAAAATAAGATTTATTACTAACCCATTTTTAAATCTGCTAATTATCATGATTGGACCAAAGGACTCCTCTTTGGCTATGTACATGTGGTCTTCTACATTTGTAAATATTGTTGGTTCAAAGAAAAAGCCTACAATATAAAAACACACACGTATATAATACTTCACTGTTCTCATTAATAAACACCAGAACAAATCATAGCTTTGACTGAGAGTTTGTGAATTTCTATTTGTTTCTAGCTTTCACTCTAGGAATATATATTTCAACTACAGTCAAAATGATGTCTGTACAGAGAAAGTCTCGATGTGACTGTATTGACATAAGAAATTACAAATAAATTTACTTAACGTTAAAAACTTTCACGTAGGCAAATTCCTGCATCTCTTAACATTAAGACCATTTAACAAACATCCTACCTGAACGTTGAAGACGTTTCCCTCCGTACACCAGTGTAGCTCCTTCTTTAACTCCAATCTCACAGTATTCAATCAACTTGTCAAGATGAGCTCTGACAAATTAGAACTTTTTTATTAAAAGTTCATGGAGGTATCGACACACACACACACATATATAACATCCTTGAGAGGTGCCCCTACCTCAAACATTTTATAAGCATCCAATATTAAGATAATTTGATGTTTTGTGAAGAATATGCTGAACTGAATAATTAATCTAAAAATACAATAACAACAACTTTTACAGTAGGCAAGTTCCGATTTTAATTATTCGAATGTTTCGGCCCACATTCTTCTAAAAGTTACTATTATTGTTGTTTTTCAATTATGAAAACTTCATTCAGATCCTCAAGGATATTGATAACTGATGTGATTGAAAGTTTAAAACCAATAAATCATTAATCATTGTTCATTAATCAAAATAATTTTTTTGTAATCAATCAAGCATTTTAGGCTAGAAATAAAGACAGGGACTTGAAGTACAAATACAGTTATCAATACTATAAATCCTATCATGATGAAACAATTGGTAATAACACCTTAAGGTTAGTGTTTTTAATATCTTGTATTTCATATACTAATATGTTTGGTAATGCAAAAAAAAGAACATTTTATTTAATTTTAGAATTTCATTAAAAAGTAAAATCTGAAATATTATATTCAGATAACCATTACAAAAGATTATATTTCAATATCAAGCACTTTACAGTGTCCAAAATTTATATATGTATATGCCTGACGCTTATTACTTGGAAGTTTAAATCGTGGAAAAAAGCTTATAGTTATTATTAAATGTTCAGATGCTTCTGTGTAAAGTTAAGTATTATTTTAATAGTGAAATATTTTATTTGTCTGAAATTACAAAATCTGCACATAAGCTCTAAGTATGAAAGCTTGTAAAAGACTTTTGTCAGTTTAGGGATACTTGGGAGTTTGAAGGAGACTGTTGTCAGTATGAGGGAGACTTGCAAGTTTGAAGGAGACTGTTGTCAGTTTGAGGGAGACTTGCAAGTTTGAAGGAGACTGTTGTCAGTATGAGGGAGACTTGCAAGTTTGAAGAAGACTGTTGTCAGTATGAGAGAGACTTGCAAGTTTGAAGGAGACTGTTGTCAGTTTGAAGGAGACTGTTGTCAGTTTGAAGGAGATTGTTGTCAGTTGGAGAGAGACTTGTGAGTTTGAAGGAGACTGTTGTCAGTTTGAAGGAGACTGTTGTCAGTATGAGGGGGACTTATGAGTTTGAAGGAGACTGTTGTCAGTTGGAGAGAGACTTGCAAGTTTGAAGGAGACTGTTGTCAGTTTGAAGGAGACTGTTGTCAGTTGGAGAGAGACTTGCAAGTTTGAAGGAGAAAGATAAGTTTGCAGAAGACTGCTGTGAGTCCAAAAAAAAAAGAACACTTTGTTTCACACATAACTTTTATGGAAATAAATTCAAGAAACAAATACAATATTTAAAGAGAATAATACAATAAAAACTAACTCAGTTAAAAAAGAAAAAGATAGATTATACTAACTTGTGATTCTGGGGGCCATGCGATGTGGATCGATCCAGTGGATCTCCTATTTTAATTTTCTTAACTTCTTCAACCTTAGAAACAAAAGAAAGTTTTAATGAAATGTATATTTCACATAATCCAACTTTTAAGGAACAAGATTATTTTTAAATCCACTGATACTATAATTTACATACAGTACTTACTGCCATTTGATTTGGTTTAAATTTAATGTGAGTTTCAATGACATTAGTCAACTAATTATAAAAAAATCAAAATAGCATTACCTTAATAAAATGTTTTATTGCGTCTGTTCTTTGTATTAAAAGTTGTTTTTAATATTCTAGAAGCAGAATATTAGACACAATGGTTCTCAAATGTCATTGATTGGGGAGGACCTGATTATATTTTGTTATCTCAGTGGACAATGACAGGGTCTATACTTTCCTTAATTATAAAAATTTTCCTTAGACCACACGAAGGTAGACTACGGACCACTGACAGCAGAGTGAGAACCATAAATTTACAGAATTTTAAACTTTTAATTCCAATGCACGTCAAATCTCACTCAAAAACTAAAATCAAAATTACATCTACAAATTCCTTTAAACCCGATACCTATACTCTATTTGTATTCGTTTAGAAATTAGGAAAACATAGTTAAACAAGTTTTTACCACTCTTTTCACAAATTCATCATGAATGGATTCTTCAAGAAACAACCGACCAGCAGCAATGCAGTTCTCTCCCTTGTTAAAAAACACTCCACCCATCCCCTTAAAGAAAAACAAAAACATTTTATCAAAACCCGCTTTAGGTACAATTTAGTCAGAAAGAAGCTTTGACAACTGTAAGAACAACTCCAAAGCTTAAGATACTTAACATACAAACTGTAAGAACAACTCCAAACCTTAAGATACTTAACATACAAACTGTAAGAACAACTCCAAAGCTTAAGATACTTAACATACAAACTGTAAGAACAACTCCAAACCTTAAGATACTTAACTTACACTCTTTCACCTGACATGACAAAACAAAATAATTTAATAGTTTTGTTTATTTCTTAGCTTATTTATAATGTAATATGACATCTGAATTTCACATTTTATTAACAACTCGGTTCAATTTTACTTCTAAGCCAGGAAAAAACAATTATACCATCAAGACTCTTTGCTTTACTTCAGAATAACTAAAGCAGTATTCAGATTGAAAGAGACAAAATGTTGAAAATTCTTTTACGTAGTAAAAATAAATATAAAACTTATTTAAAGACACAAAAATGTTTATTTACCCCTAGTTTTTGGACTGATGAACATTCAGTCTTTCATTACAGGTTTGAAAGTACTTTCAAACCCCTGATGGACTATTTATCAATCTGAAAGCTAGGAAATAACCCCTGATGGACTATTCATCAATCTGAAAGCTAGGAAATAACCCCTGATGAACTATTCATCAATCTGAAAGCTAGGAAATAATCCCGATGGACTGTTCATCAATCAGAAAGCTGGGAAATTTGTTTGTTTCTTGTTAAGCACAAAGCTGCACAATGGGCTATCTGTTCCCTGCCCACCTTTGTTATCAAAATTTGATTTTTACCATCAGAGGCATCACTAGGCACTAGCACACAGGGCCTGTGCCCCAATTCTATTTGGAAACATCCTGAATCCCCAGTTAGTGTCTTGAAAATTCAGGATAGAAAAACCATGATCAATATCATACTGAAATGCCAAAAAAACCGATGCCTATGGGCCCGAGCCTCTGTTTAGTATGAAAGGTTTTTAAACTTAATGCCAAGCCAACAGAAGCATCTAGAGAATAAATAAACCATTTTGTGTCTTTTTCCAGGCAAAACTCAGAAGCTTCAATCAATCCCAGAACCAACAAATTATTTTTTTTCACTCTTTTTACATCACTTACGAAACTTCAGAAATATACGTCTCATTGTACAACCTCAAATATCATCATTTTAAGATTAAGTAATTTAATATTAACTTATTTTACTTCTATTTCCAGTTGACATTCTTAGATACACGTATATTTTTAAAGTAAATATATAATTTCAGGGTCCACTTTAGTTCTTCCACATTTCTCCTAAGCCTAGCAGTACTTTCAATTATGTTTTAAAATATTAAAAAAAATATTCAAGCTCGTGGACCCTTAGGAAACAGTATATTGTGACGGCTGGTCAAGCACTTTCTTATCAGTTCTTTGTTTTTTAGAAGAGTCAGGTCTAGAAATGTAATTCAGTAAAATATTACAAAAATAAAGGTAGGGTGCGATCGCTAAATAAACACTGGAAATGTGTGATCATATGCAAGTTACATTTTCATTGTTATTTGATGAAGTAAAAAACCTGAATTTACCAATTGCTCGTAATAGGATTTATGACAACAACAGAAAGTAGCATAGAAATCAATCCAGTATCAAAGTTAATTTTGTTTACGTTACAACTGATCGTTACAGTCACAAGTTTTCAACTAAATTATTTTTGTTATAAATAATTTTTCCACAAGATGGATGTTCAAAACTAGCCCTGAAACCCTTGGACATGCTAACCTGCCTCACAGCACGATCCAAGTCACAATCACTAAAGATGATCAGAGGTGATTTTCCGCCTAGTTCTAGTGAAACTTTCTTCAAGTTTGACACGGCACAGCTATTAAAGATAAAAAATTCCCAAGAAGCAAAAAAAACATAAATAAATAACAACCTGATTTTGCCAAATATGAAAAAAATTATAAAGGAGATAAACTTTAAAGCCCATCGGCAAAAACAAAATAAAATGTAAGACCATGAAAACAAATATAAAACTTATGCATAAGCAGTGTGTTTGAATGGTGAATGTGTGTTTTTTATTTACATTTTTTACAATAAAAATTATGCACATGAAAGTCTAACACATATCAATAATACATTTAAAAGGCCATGAAATGTGACACACAAAACTATTAGAAGCTCACTGATATTCTGACTTCTGTTGTTTATTTTGTGCTACAATTAAACAATTTCCTTACCCTTAAAAACCACAATAATTGATTTTAATGAATAGTACTCTGAATTCAGTCTAAACTAACTATAAAGACAATTACTGTTTCCCACAGGTGGAACAATGGTGGGTTTATTCCCCTTTTGCTTTGGGATATAGTATACACATACCATTTACAATAATTAATTCAGAATTTTTTGCCCTCCCATCCTCTCCCCATATTTCAGTCCCAAATTCCACACATGCTTTTTCATACCCTTGTCAACCATGTTGATTTAACTATACAGTACTACAACCCCAATGTTGATTTAACTATACAGTACTACAACCCCAATGTTGATTTAACTATACAGTATTACAACACTAGATGTTGATTTAACTATACAGTATTACAACCCCAATGTTGATTTAACTATACAGTACTACAACCCCAATGTTGATTTAACTATACAGTATTACAACCCCAATGTTGATTTAACTATACAGTATTACAACCCCAATGTTGATTTAACTATACAGTACTACAACACTAGATGTTGATTTAACTATACAGTACTACAACTCCAATGTTGATTTAACTATACAGTACTACAACACTAGATGTTGATTTAACTATACAGTATTACAACCCCAATGTTGATTTAACTATACAGTATTACAACCCCAATGTTGATTTAACTATACAGTATTACAACCCCAATGTTGATTTAACTATACAGTATTACAACACCAGATGTTGATTTAACTATACAGTACTACAACACCAGACGTTGTTTTAACTATACAGTCCTACAACATCAGGCATTGTTTTAACTATACAGTCCTACAACATCAGACGTTGTTTTAACTATACAGTCCTACAACATCACTGTATAGTTAAAACAACGTCTGATGTTGTAGGACTGTATAGTTAAAACAACGTCTGATGTTGTAGGACTGTATAGTTAAAACAACGTCTGATGTTGTAGGACTGTATAGTTAAAACAACGTCTGTATAGTTAAATCAACATCTGGTGTTGTAGGACTGTATAGTTAAATCAACATCTGGTGTTGTAGGACTGTATAGTTAAATCAACATCTGGTGTTGTAGGACTGTATAGTTAAAACAACGTCTGATGTTGTAGGACTGTATAGGTAAAACAACGTCTGATGTTGTAGGACTGTATAGGTAAAACAACGTCTGGTGTTGTAGGCCTACAACACCAGACGTTGTTTTAACTATACAGTCCTACAACACCAGATGTTGTTTTACCTATACAGTCCTACAACACCAGATGTTGTTTTACCTATACAGTCCTACAACACCAGATGTTGATTTAACTATACAGTCCTACAACACCAGACATTGATTTAACTATACAGTACTACAACACCAGACATTGATTTAACTATACAGTACTACAACACCAACTTGGTGCACAGTTACTCAAGAAACAACCTACCTTTTCATGATTTGCATACCGATCGGTGTTGAACCAGTAAAACCTAACTTTCTAACAAGTGGGTGGTCTGCAATAGCCTGTCCACATAAACTTCCTGAAACGAAAGGAAATTTTTATAATCATCAGTCAGTCTCTCTTGTCAAGTTATGAATAACATTTACATTTCATAGATAAGCTTATAAACGACTTACACGAAAAAAAATATTTTCTTACATTTCACAATCAACCTATTGAAATTTCAACAATAAAATACAAACTACCTAGAATGTAATAGTTACATCAAAACTTAAAAGAGGAATTTTACCACTTGTTTACATCAAAATGATTTACATCTCACAGAAAATCAAACTGAGCTGACCTGCTCCAGGTAGTATGTTAATCACTCCAGGAGGGAAACCAGCACGAACTATTAGTTCAGCAAGTTTGAGAGCAGTCAGTGGTGACACCTGGGCAGGTTTTAGAACCACTGTGTTACCAGCAGCAATACAAGCAGCCATCTTCCATGATACCATCATTAAAGGGTAGTTCCAAGGTGTAACAATTCCACAGACACTGAAGAAATGTTTTTGTAAGACGTCAGAGAAAAAACTCACACACAAAAAAAACCAGCTATTCTGAAGCCTATGTAATTACCAAAATCTGGCTATATAAAGCTATGTGATTGCCAGACTCTGGCTACAGTAATATGAATATCGTTATCAAAACACATTTACAGGTAGTCACTAAATCTGGCTATATAAAAATGAAATCTGACTTCAGGTGAATATTAAGATCCATCTCAGATACAATACACCAGTATCTGACTAGAATATTGTCTAGAATACCAGCATGATTGCACTATAGTGAAACGCTTAAGCAGCAGAATTTCTATATTAAATATAAAAACTAGTTACTGAAGCATCACGGGCTAGGTAAGTACGGTGACCAAGTCTTTATAACAAGCCTATAAAAAGTAATCACCTATCTAAGTATTGTAGCTAATACCTTGTAACAATCTATAAAAAGTAAGTTCCTAGATAAGTATGGTGATGAATTTTAACAAGCCTATTTCTACTTGATATTGATTGTTTTTTGATAATATAAAACACAAAATGTTTATCTATTTATATAAGAGTGTAATCTTTTCAACTAAGGACTTGATTAAATTGATTTTCTTTTTCATTATCAAATTATTTATTTTTTCAAATATGAGATTTTAATTAATTTACAAATCCCAAATTGATAAATTATTTCTCTTCAAAGTGGTATCATTTTATAGTGTATATGAAACTTGCATTAGGCCTAGCATGGTTAATGGGCTATTTACTGTTACACCAGTAAAACTTAATCCTTAGTTCCAAACAAAACTTTCACTATAAGCTAAAATTGAGTCAGTATTTCTCACCCAATTGGCTCCTTTTCAGTGAATGTGAGGTTTCGATTAGGCCTAGCATGGTTAATGGGCTATTTAGTGTTACACCAGTAAAACTTAATCCTTAGTTCCAAACAAAACTTTAACTATAAACTAAAATTGAGTCAGTATTTCTCAGCCAATTGGCTCCTTTTTGGTGAATGTGAGGTTTCGATTAGGCCTAGCATGGTTAATGGGCTATTTACTGTTACACCAGTAAAACTTAATCCTTAGTTCCAAACAAAACTTTAACTATAAACTAAAATTGAGTCAGTATTTCTCACCCAATTGGCTCCTTTTTAGTGAATGTGAGGTTTCGATTAGGCCTCGCATGGTTGATGGGAATGGTGGACCCATGGATTTTGTCACACCAGCCTGCAAAATACCTCCAGGTATCAATGGACATTCCTACATGTGTCTTGATAGCAAGAGTATATACAGCACCAGAATCAAGAGTTTCTATTGTCGCAAGTTCCTCCTTGTGTTCTTCCATAAGGTCTGCAAGTCTGAAATACGCACAAAAAATATATATAAATACTTTTAAAGTTCACGATATTAAATTTTTACTATTTCACTCCTAATTAATGTAAAATAAATAAATAAAGAATTAATCCTTTAATTTGTTAATATATATACATAAAATAACCCAGTCATTGATAAGGATGTTAGCAAGATCCTCTGAAAAAAAAGGAGCATGAGGAGTCTGGTTATTTGAATGAAACAAAAACATCTCACCAATTATATAACTAAGGTTCATTTTAAACTAAAATGTAAGCAAGATCTTTTATTTGAAAAATAGTTATTTTATTTTTAACACAATAATATGAGACTCAACTTTAAAAATTAAGAATATATAACTTTCAGAAATATTATAAAACTCTTTATTTTCTATATATCTAAGCCTAAATACCTAACTAGATAGGTGTGCTTTGAAATACTGGTAAAAAACTAATAGTGTAGCCATTGTATTCAAGTTGGAACAAAACTGAGAATGTTATTGAAATGCAAAATATACAGTAGTTGATTTATTTCAAAAACTTTAAATATTTCATCAAATAATGAAGTAAACAAAGTATCACGTGAAAATATATTTTCAGTGTAACCTAATTTGCACATATAAAAATTCAATGTGCAACTTTACTTTATGCTAACAAAAGTAGATACATTGATTGTTTGAGGTTATTCAAAGTTTTTCATAACAATCCTTAACAAAACCTCAGAAGCTTTCATTCTTAACATGTTCATTATGGGTTTCCAGTAAGAAAGTATTTATGTTATTTTAAGCACACTAAATCAAACTGATCTCACATCCGTATAAGTTATGGTGTTAAGCCTATAGGATCAAATAGTGACAGCCATCCCTAACTTTCAACAACCTTGAAAACAGGTACATACTTAAACATAAGACGTCCCCTGTCTCTTGAATTCATTCTGGCCCATTCTCCATCTTCAAATGCAGCCTGTAAAACATTAGTTTTTATATATAAAAGAAATATTTTAGGTAGAAAGAAAAGCATATTTTCATACGTTGAGGAACTTAAATATTAAATTATTGGCATATTTCAGAAACACTATTTCAACCATCTACATATAATTACTAGCATTTTTAAATTGTCAGAAGTAAATAGTTACCATTTATTAGCTGTCATATAAACCCTCTGATCAGATACTTATTAAATGTAGCTAAATAATGTAGTAAAATAATGTAGATAGAGCTGTCAAGTGTGCAAAGGTACATAATCTAGTGTTCATTACCTATTCTTTTCACACTTGACAGCTCTATCTACATTATTTTACTACATTATTTAGCTACATTTATTAGCTGTCATATAAACCCTCTGATCAGATACTTATTATATAGCTAATGAACACTAGATTATGTACCTTTGCACACTTGACAGCTCTGTCTACATCGTCAACTGATGCACTCTCTACTTCACATATCATCTGCACAGGAAAATGTAATATATATAAAAAAGTGATGAAAATTTCTTAACCTCCCAGTATACTCATCTTTTTATAACAGATTACCAACATATGTTAATAAAAAAGGTAACACATTTGTATCATCCAAAAGTCCAATCTGTTTTTTTAAAAACGTACATAAATAAATTATCAAAATCCAGACTTGTCTTGGCATATTGTTTAAAAGGGAAAAGGAGAAAAGCTTCGTGTAAAGTAGTGTCTTTACAGTTTCACAATGCTAAATAACACACAGTTAGTCTTTGCATATTTTCTTCTTAAAGAAGTAGTCCACATGAAATACCTTACAGCAGTAATTCTCAAACTGTAGTACACACAACTGATTGTAGATGGAGCCAATATCTGTGGTACATGAAAAAATTAATGTAAAAAGTATAGAACTTGTAATAAGCCTAATGCAAGATTTCCATGTACATATACACATTACTCTCTTTATTCTAGACTTGTCCTCAACTTCCGTAGAATGACCAGTTTTCTTTCCTTCAAGTTTACAAAAATCGCAACACATTTTTTTCAATTGTGCCAAAAAAAATAATCACATCTTACCCATTAATGGGCAAGTTTTAAGAATATAATTTGGTAATAAGTTAGTCTTTTTTCTTTTAAATTAGGCCTGGGTTTGTACTTTAAAAATATTTCTAAACAAAAGGTGGTATGTGAGCCTGAAAAGTTTCAGAACAACTGCCTTATAGCATGTGTTTAAACATTACTGGAAGAAACATGTGACATGAACATTCCAAGTACTACATTACCTTAATGTAGCATGTTCCCAATAGGTGTTATATTCAACCGGATCCCCTGGTTACAAGTGATAGTTATGTTTTTACATTAGTTTGGAAACTATTTCTTACAAATTAATTACATAAACCATAGTGACAATTAATAAATAGCTTATACCATTGGCACCATTATATTGTATATATATTTTTTGGAGTACCAGGAACTTGTTTAGTAGGCTGCCATGATAACATGAGCTCAGATTTACTACGTGTACACAGACAATAACTTTAAGGTCCTTTATATTGTGTTTATGTTATTGTGCTAAGTGTTTGGACAAACTTGAAAGAAGTTACTCTTTATCATATCATCAACACTTGGTCAGTTATAAATTACTGCTGGGACCACTGTAAGGTCTTTGTTAACTTTTAACAAATTTGAACAAAGCAACTTCAACAAAACTACCAGTTCAAAATATAATACATAACTTTGCTCAGTGCCATACAATCAACTCACAAAAGGAAACAAAAACAGTACTATTAACTTAGAGCCCGTAACTGTTAGTCATGTCTGAACCATTGGTAAAGTTTCAAACTAAATAGACATAACCGAGCTTTACTGTACCAATTATGTAACATCTTAGGTGATTACACGTTATACACTTGATACTTTTTGGGAATTATGGTGTACTACTGATTAGTATGCTTATGTACAGAAATACTTTTCTGTACGAGTGATATGTATGCCTACAGAACAATAAATATAATATTGATCCAGAATATGCCACTTATCCAAGACAGCATTGTGTCTAAATATCATGTCTATGCAGTCATATTACAAAGCAAGTTATGGGTTGTTGAAAATATAGTCCTAACAGCACATCCAAACCTCTTCAGTTGTAGGGTTGATAGATCGAAGTTTTTTGCCACTAGTACAGTCCACAAATTGATTGTTGATGAATAATTGGTGAGGAATGGTCAGTGTCATATTGTTTGCAGAAATCTTGACCTAAAATATGAACAAGACACATATATATGGCATTTATTTTCTTTTAATTTTCAAATGTGAATATTCTTTACAACAAAATTCATGAATGATATTCAGTAAATTGAAAAAAAACATTTTTTTTTTATAATAACTAAAGGTTTTTTTGATCATTTTAAAATTAGATACTGTGTAAGTCTAACAAAACTTTTTAAACAAATGGGAATTTAATGAAATTTCTTGAAGGCTAAATTGTAATTTATTTTCAAAGAAAATCTTGTCTGTTTGTAAAGATAATAAGTATTTTATTTTCTAAAATTCTTTAAAATGACCTTACCTCATCATAAACAAGTGTAGGACCAGACGATTCTCCTCTTTGTTTCAGAACAACTGTTTTTACAAATTCTCCAAATACTGTCGCCATGTAAACATCTTCGTTGTCAAGTTCTACTTTACATTTTTCTTTCACTTCTTCTACTAATCTACGAGAGAAGAAAATACAATTCCCTAATCGAAATCAATAGATGTAGAAAAAACACGACCGACATCTTAACAACAAAGATTGTGTGTGTGAGGTTACCATGTTTGTTTCTTTTTTTTCTCCATTTTTGATGATTTAAATTTTTTCAAAGAACAATGGGTGCAAAAAAATAACAAATGTTTAACTGAATGTGAATTACCAAATTTGATTAAACATTCTTCTCTCAAGCCATATTTATGTAACTGCTTGTTTTTCCAATTCATTAATATCAATCAAAATAACGGTAAAACAAATCGAATATATAACTTAAAACTTATAAACATCCTCTCCAATATTTTTACAGTAAAACGTTTCTCCTCGTTCATTATAAACTAATGTTTTCTTCCTTAAAAAAAAAAGCTGTAAACCTGCGAGTTTTATTTGTATAAAGTAATTTTTGATTAAAGTTCTTAATACTTTCCCAACAAATTATGATTATGTAAAATAAACCACCTTTTTTCCGATTACCACTGAAATACACAGTCAGAAAACATAACATCATAATAACCAAGCAAGTAATAAAACAAAAATTACTGTTCGACAGTGCTACCAACATATCATACTCTACATTGTGGAAAATTTGGTGGTTGGTCCTCAGATAGATGACAGAAAGTAAAGCAACTGCATGGTAAGAACATCACCTAATTTTATTTGGCAGGCCGTACCAGGGTAACACTGAATGATGAAGTTGGCCACTTACAAGAAAAGCCCCTGTACCAATTCCAGTACAACTTTACTGGCAAGTTATCAACCTCCTAGATACTATATACTAGTAACGTGAAAATGGCAACCACGGAAGGTCTTCATCGACAGTCAGAGGAAACATAATTGATGCAGAATAAAGTACCATATGGTGTTGTTAGGAAAAACAAAAGATGAAGAACTGATAGTACATCATAAAGACAGAAGATCAATGGTAACATCATTAAACTGTCTTCTCCCACCTATGAGACAACTGCTCTACACATGAGGGACTGTTATCTAGTACTCAACTAACTGGTCTATACACGAGGGGTGAATACAACCCCTTGGACTGTCATCTAGTTCTCAACTAACTGGTCTACACACGAGGGATGGATACAACCCCTTGGACTGTCATCTACTCAACTAACTGGTCTACACATGAGGGGTGAATACAACCCTTTGGACTGTCATCGAGTACTCAACTAACTGGTCTACACACGAGGGGTGAATACAACCCCTTGGACTGTCATCTAGCACTCAACTAACTGGCCTACACATAAGGGGTGAATACAACCCCCTTGGACTGTCATCTAGTACTTAACTAACTTATTCACAAAGTGTTGAGTGATACAGAAAAGTATTATATATGTAGCCGCACTCACACAATACTGGGACTGTAACAACTAGTTAAGGTATACTCCAGTTAAAATAAAAGTATGAAACTACCAAAAATTGTTTACAATTGTGCAACCAAAGTATAATCAAGCAACCATTTCTTTAGTGCATAACTGAGTTAACAGAGAATAACAAAACAATTAAACTTTGATGTCACAAAACTAGCAAAATGGCTAAACTTTAATGTCACAAAACTTACAAAGCAGTTAAACTCTAATGTCACAAAACAGTTAAGCTTTAATGTCATGAAACAAACACAACAGCTAAACTCTAACATCACGAAACTAACACAACAGCTAAACTCTAGCATCATGAAACTAACACAACATTTAAACTCTACTGTTATGAAATTAACAAAACAGTTAAACCAATGTTGTGAAACTAACAACACAATTAAACTCTAATGTCACAAAACTTACAAAATAGTTAAACTCTAATCTCAGGACACTAATACAACAGTTAAACTCTAATGTCATGAAACGAACAAAGCAGTTAAACTCTAAATGTCACAAAAGTAACATAGTAGTTAAATTCTAATGTCATGAAACTAACAAAACAATTAAATTCTTATGTGAAATGAAAACTCTGTTATATGACAACAATGGCATACTGATGTTTGATGGTGCCCTGTGTGACATGTAAATTTGGCACCCCCAACCCGTTAGTTCATTTTGTTAGTCAATCAATCAACTGGTGCCTCCTTCGAGTTGGTGCCCTGTGTAAACACACTATCCACAGTAATATTGAATAACGTCAATTCTATCAATTGAAATAACATAAGCCAACTACAACATGGATCTTGATTTTAAAAAACTCACAAGAGCATTTATATGTTCCTTGAGAAATTAGCTTTGCACTTTCTGCAAGAAAAAGCCTTGCCTTCTTTTACACCGTCAAAAGTCAATCTTCCACATTTTCAAGTTAATAATTAGTGAAAAGAAACATGTTTCATAAATAGAGCAAAGAAATGCCAGTTTGGTTTCACATAACGGAAACAAACTATAATAAACGTTTATATTTAATTATTTCATTCTTTGAAGGAAAAAAAACAAAAAGTGTAATTTATGTATCAAACCTCTTGGCTTTGACAAAACAAGTACGCTGCACTCTTGTGAAAATTGACCTTGTGGTAATGCAACTTATACCTACTTAAAAAAGCATAATGAAATGTAAATTTATTTGAATAAAATTAACTATTAATTAACTGAATCAAAAAATTAGGTAAAAAATAAAAGAGATTTGAAGGAATAAAAGACAGAAACAAGTTACTTTAGAGAAGAATCGAAGAAAAGTAATTGTACCATGGCATTATGTAAAAACTAACACAGATTTGCAGGAATAATGAAATAAAATTAGTTACTTAACTTTAGAAGAGACTCAGAGGAACAACTGCTTATTTAACAAAATTCTGAAAAAAACTCTTTAACATTATTCATTAATCCTCATCTTTCAAACAAATTAACATAATAAATAGATGGTCCAGTTAATAACTCACAACAAAGTAATTATTGTCCATTCAACAAAAATCTTTAGGTGATATTTATTTCACCTAAGAAACCTATAAACGCAAAACTAATTCTTCAAACTATTTTTAACTGTTACCTTGCCACGTCCATTGACCCGGCTCCACTTTTGAAAAAGTCAGTCTCCTCGGAAACTCCAATGTTGAGGATGCCAGCCCATATTGTCTAATATTGTTGATAGAAGGTAAAAAGTTTCACACGTAAATGTAACTTGAACTGAAGTGTAGTAATATTGTAAAGTCACTAATATGCTAACGTACAATCACTTGGCTCAATGATTATAAAATTATTTTCAGTATCAACTTGCCATAATTAGTTTTGTTCACCAGATTCTACAAGTCATTAACACAGTTGTTATTCACCAGATTCTACAAGTCATTAACACAGTTGTTATTCACCAGATTCTACAAGTCATTAGCTAGTTTTGTTCACCAGATTCTACAAGTCATTAGCTAGTTTTGTTCACCAGATTCTACAAGTCATTAGCTAGTTTTGTTCACCAGATTCTACAAGTTATTAGCTAGTTTTGTTCACCAGATTCTACAAGTCATTAGCTAGTTTTGTTCACCAGATTCTACAAGTTATTAGCTAGTTTTGTTCACCAGATTCTACAAGTTATTAGCTAGTTTTGTTCACCAGATTCTACAAGTTATTAGCTAGTTTTGTTCACCAGATTCTACAAGTTATTAGCTAGTTTTGTTCATCAGATTCTACAAGCTATTAGCTAGTTTTGTTCATCAGATTCTACAAGTTATTAGCTAGTTTTGTACAAGTACAAAGTAGTTGTTGATGAAAATCAGATGGATATTCATAAGAATAAGTATATATCGTAAAAAACTTGTATCTGAAAAGCATATATTGCTTTGAATAAGGTCTTTATTTATTAACTCTAAACATTTAAAGTTAAAAAAAACATTAAAAATAAAACCACCTTTTCAAATAACCCTATATGATAATAATAATCTCAAGCTATAGACTAGTGCAAATTTCGCATGCTCATAAAATTGTGAAAACAAATATGCTTAAACCTAATTTGAAAATATTACCTAACAAAAAAAAACATTTTAAATAAAATCAAAGATTTATCTAGCATAAGACAAACCTGGAGAGTCTCCGCAAGTGTTTTTTCTTCTTCGGTAAGTTCAATATCTTCTTTGGAATCATCAGTCTCTCCATACTTAGAAGCTTTAAACATCCTTCCATCTTCAGTTGCAAGTGTCTGAACGTTAACCTGGTGTAAAATAAGAAGAGAAATAGTCCTAAGTTAGCAAGCAGAAGGAAAGCATTAGTAGAGCAACAAACTAACAAAATTCTTAAGTTTTACTCCATCCCACTAGTTTTGACCAAGAATCAACATTTTTATTAATGAACAATGTCAAACTTGTGTGTTCAGCTGAAATCATTGACTGTTCTGTGGTACATGGAATTCATACTATTGACATCATGTAATACTAATTCCAACATATTAATCATTAAATAACGTAATTAAGAAGCTCAGTACAGTTTGCGAGTACAACTTCACAGATCTTTTCCTGTAGTTTGAAACTGATGGTGTTATTGATACTACTTTCTACCAGAAAATAAATCTTAAAAAGATGATATTTCTAATCTTATGTTTCTGAAGTACTGGACAACATCCTTCCAAGCAACTGGACTGGCTAGGTGAGACAACTAACCAAAGTACAACACTCTCTAGACTAATGCCACTAAACTTCCAGTTGTAAGAACACATCATCTACAGTTCGCACCCATGAGATCACTACCCAGGGTACTACACTCTCTAGACTAATGCCAATAAACTTCTGGTTGTCAGAACACATCACATCTACAGTTCACACCCATGAGACCACTACCAATGACACCACACTCTCTAGACTAATGCCAATAAACATCTGGTTGTAAGAACACATCACATCTACAGTTCACACCCATGAGACCACTGCCAAGGACACCACACTCTATAAACTAATGCCACTAAACTTCCAGTTATCAGAACACATGACATCTACAGTTCACACCCATGAGACCACTACCCAGGGTACCACACTCTCTAGACTAATGCCACTAAACTTCTGGTTGTGAGAACACATAACATCTACAGTTCACACCCATGATACCACTACCGACAGTACCACACTCTCTAGACTAATGCCAATAAACTTCTGGTTGTGAGAACACATCACATCACACACTCATGAGACCACTACCCACTATGCTTCCTAATCCCAAGGATTATGCCAGAAAAACAACTGATACAACTGTAGATTAAATGCTTCTCAAAAAAAACAGATGCCTGAAGAAGAATGAATGCTGAAGAAGAGTGAAAATGCTGCAGAAATGTAACAAATTCAGCGTAAATTAAAACCCAACATATACTTTATTACATTTCTATGTTTCTTCTTTAAAAACTTATTACAATTTAATATATGTACAACCATTTGTAAACATTCTGTATCAGCACAAACCATAGTTCACACTAAATTGTTCAGATCAATTTCAAGCACTTTTCAAGAACTTTCCAAGCACTCTCAGAATGTTTTTCAAGCACTATGTGGAAGTTAAAATCTACATCAAAATCAATCGGATTACGCTGAAAATTTATAAACTTCCTATGAAATTGTTCAACATATGAATGTAGACTAAAAATAAAGGAAAGATTTTGTTTATTGTATTCAACTCCACAACATACGTTGAAGTTAGATATATCAATATATATTCTGCTATTATAATATTTTCAAGTGCTTTTCAAAAAAAAATGGCCCCTTTTCAAGCTCTTGAAATTCCATTCTCAATTTCAAGCACTTACAGGGATGCATATGCAACCCGACAACCTGTATCATACCAAGCCCAGCCGAGAATAATATCAACAACCAAGCAAAGCAAGTAGCAGAAATCGCCACCTAGTGGTCTTACACAGCCCTAAGAATAGAAGATAATTTTGTCGGTTATGCTCTTTGCCCGAATTTAAAACAAACCATATCCAGTTGGAGTTAACTTCTTAACAGTGCATCCCCAATTGATTACACAGACAAATATGCAAGCTGGTTAGATTTGGTTTGTTATGAATTTTGCACAAAGCTACACGAGGGCTATCTGCGCTAGCCATCCCTAATTCAGCAGTGATAGACTAGAGGGACGGCAGCTAGTCATCACCACCCACCTTCAACTCTTGGGCTACTCTTTTACCAACGAATAGTGGGATTGACCATCACTTAATGCCCTCATGGCTGAAAGAGCGAGCATGTTTGGTATGACAAGGATACAAACCCCCGATATGCAGATTGCGAGTCGAGCGCCCTTACCACCTGGCCATGCCGGGCCCGTATGCAAGCTGAACACAAAAGCATAAACTTAATAATTAACTTTAAAAGATACAATACAGAGCTAAAGAAAATCTACAAATTACAACAAATATTTAAATAAATAAAAATATAGAGCAACGTGCAGTTATTCCTTAGTTATATATTCATCATGCAACAAGTTGATAACAGTTTTGTATTCATCATTCAACAAGTCAATAACAGTTTTGTATTCAACATTCAACAAGCCAATAATAGTTTTGTATTCATCATTCAACAAGTCAGTAACAGTTTTGTATTCAACATTCAACAAGCCAATAATAGTTTTTGTATTCATCATTCAACAAGTCGATAATAGTTTTGTATTCATCATTCAACAAGTCGATAATAGTTTTGTATTCATCATTCAACAAGTCGATAATAGTTTTGTATTCATCATTCAACAAGACAATAATATTTCTGTATTAATCATTCAACAAGACAATGCCGAGTTCTGTATTAATTACTTAACAAGCTAAGAATGTCCTGATAATTTTTTAATTAAGTACTCTTACCAATTTCTGATCGTTTCCATATAAAAGAAGGCCATCTTGATGAACAATAGCAGGTTGGCTCATTCCTTCTATCGATACCCGTTTACCACTTGGTACTGGTTCTGTCCACATCCGTGACCCATACAACCTTACAAACTAACAAACAAAAAACAACTGAGATATAACATTAACTTACTTTAATTTTTAATAAATGACAGTATTAATTCTGGGGCAAGGATTTCAACATCAAGTTTGTATTTTCTAAACTACTGCATAGGATTGGTTGAGTATAATTAACGCTAAGTAAATAAAGGATTTATTGCATAAAATGTTATCTTTTCTGTAATACACACATCACGATGGCCATAAAAGTTGAAGCTTCCACAAGTCATACTCACATTTAGCATCCACAGCTTTAACAATTAACATAGATTACAGGGATACTTTATTTCCACCTTCGTACAACACAAAAAATACCACTTCTACATTTACACGTCACAGAGAAGACTAAATATCTGATAATGTTCACAATAATTCACAAAAACATTAATAAAAGTGGTAAAAAGTTAATTAAACAGGCGTAACTGTGTTCACAAGACATACTCAAATATTCAATAACTGATAAAAAATTTAAATATTCATTGTCTTAAGTTTTTATAATACTGAAAACGTTTTCATACGGTTCCATCAATGTAAGTCCACGCTCCTGGGATTTTGTCCATTCCTCGAATGAAGTTATGCAACTGTTCACCGGTTAACTGATCAAAGTGTATCTGCAAGATAGTAAAAGAAGTAAATATGAGGATTCTCTCCGGCAATAAAAGTCTTTGCTCAAAGATACAAGAAGACTATCCCTAATTTTGAGCTGATAGACTAGAGGGAAGGCAACTAGATAACAATAACACTCCTAACTCATAAGTTACTCAAATCAAACAGGATGATCTGATCTTCAATCTTATAACACATCCACAGCCTAAAGGACCAGAGCAGAATTTTTCAGTGACAGGACATGAACACAAAAGTCTCAAGTTCTCAGTCTGGAACGTTAATCACTAAGCCTAAGATTAATAGCAAAACTGTTTAATTACTGGCAGGATTGGAACCGAGTAAAGAGGAAAATTCCACCCCACTTCAACAGGAATATCTTGTAATACTGATTCAGCATGCGATCTTAAGTAAATCTCTCTACATATTATCCAAAAATGTCAAATCCCACCAGCAACTCTGATAACAACTGTAAAAAAACGTGTATTAAACTAAAGTTAACATCTTCCGACAGATAATTACCTCCTCTCACAAAATAGCTTTTCTCTGTTAGTACTGCCCTCTACTGGCACAAATTTTCCACACTCACCATAAGCCTTCCACTTCTACATATCCACATGCAAGTGATTATGCAGTAGCTCTCCACCAATAGCAGTGTGACACAACTCCTATCCTAACCAGCGCCCTCTCCACATTTGCACACGTTAATCACTTCTGATTGGCGACAATACTATACTGGTGTGCTTGTTTTTGCTCACAAATTTGTCAACGTTTTCCTTTATGCTACAGACTTAGTTTTTCTTTACTTTGTTTCTGTTATTTCTTTATTTACAGTGGCTAGTGTATTGTGGATCCTACTCTGTGGTGAGTGGTGTCCGACCAGGCATACTTGTTTTTTGAAAATCCGCACTGTACATCCTGTGACCATGCTCGATGTCAATTACATTGCAGTTCTTCCTATCGCGGACATGATGTACAATTCCAGGTGGTGCCAGGTGTTGGTTGTGTGTGTGTCTCTGTTCAATTGTCATCTATGCCAAAACAATTGTGTTGCAGGATTAGGTTACGAACACCAACACCATAGAGATGGGGTGTTCCATAGGATTGCTAGCAGTTCTCTCTCTAGTGGTCTTTTGCTTCATAGATATGATAGAAGGCTAGTGGCAAACATTGAAAATTTACACCGATAGATATTTTGTGAGAAAAGGTTAGATATCGTATCAAACTATACATTCATATATTTCTAAATCTCTTGAAGTTTTGTTGAAAACTCTGAAAACGAAATCAGAAACATAAAACGAGGCAAAAGTATCATCAATAATCTATTTTTATAATCTTTGACAAAAAACATTTTTACACCAAAACATTAAGCACAGTTAATTTCACACAAAAGGTACAATTTTTCAAAAATATTTTGTGGTTGGCTTTGTCTTTATATCTTAAATTTAATTTTTCCCAATACCTGGCATAGTTCTTTCTTGCTTAGAGAAGGATCATAGGTGGCACCTTCCTCTGGCTGCGTTTCTTTGGGTGCTGTTCCATTGGCTATCATGTCAACAGCTTCTGCCTGAAGGTGTTAGATACGATAGATACAAAACAATTATATAACTGTAAACACCAATTTACCTTGAAAAAAAATTGAAAATCACTAATTCGTTGTTGACAAAACCAAAATCTTTTCAGTTGTTTATGTACTGAACATAGCTTCATGCGAAGACATGTGTAAAACATTAAAGACTTCTTACTCTTGTGTGCTAGCTTTTCTTCAAATAAAGTGTGTACCTGTTACAAACACATGTTACCTAGGCCTTATCTATATTACTAAGTATTATCTAGGTAGCTGTTGAAAACACGTTATATTTGCTACATATTCTTTATATGTGTTGCTATTGATATTTAGGAAGGTCACTCCTTGTTATCTTGAGATGTTTATCTGACTTTGGACTTTCTTTCATGAATCTGTGAAGTTTGCCACATTTCATCATTTTCTATAATATTAAACTTCAATAGCGGTAATACAGAACTATGTTTAAATAAGGACATAAAACATGGACCCTAATCAAATATTAAAACCAGGAAAAATTATTTAAGCTAAAAAATACTAGAAACCATCAGTACTTGGTGAAACTCCATAATTACAGAATTGAGGAAACAAGACAGCTGTACGTTGCACAACTACATGATTTATTACGACCATGGTTTCGCCAGTCTGTACCTAATGATGCCTTTACTGACAAGACCATGGTTTCACCAGTCTGTACCTAATGATGCCTTTACTGACAAGACCATGGTCATAATAAATCATGTATTTGTGAAACGTACAATAGTGATTTTTCCTCAATTCTAAAAAAATGTTACATTTGTTTTCAAGATAAGAAAAGAGAGATCAAAAATATGATGAATTTATTAATGTCCTGCTTACCGTTTTGTAAACATGATTTGAAACATACTATCCATGAAGGGCAACAACTAAATATAGTAATGAATTAAACACTCAGGGGAAGAAAAGTATACTTCTACTGATTAGAGGTTTTAGTACTGATTACACAAATGGAAGAGAAGTATACTTCTACTAGATAAACGTTTAATAATCATTATTTATATGGAAGAGAAGTATACGTTTATCTACTAGAAGTTGACTTCTCTTCCATATAAATAATGATTATTAAACGTTTATCTACTAGAAGTTGACTTCTCTTAAAGAGAAGTCAACTTCTAGTAGATAAACGTTTAATAATCATTATTTATATGGAAGAGAAGTCAACTTCTAGTAGATAAACGTTTTAGTATTGATTATTTATATGGAAGAGAAGTCAACTTCTAGTAGATAAACGTTTTAGTATTGATTATTTATATGGAAGAGAAGCCTACTTCTACTGGATAAACGTTTCATTAATGATTATTCATATGGAAGAGAAGTCAACTTCTAGTAGATAAACGTTTTAGTATTGATTATTTATATGGAAGAGAAGTCAACTTCTAGTAGATAAACGTTTTAGTAATGATTATTTATATGGAAAAGAAGTCAACTTCTACTGGATAAACGTTTCATTAATGATTAATCAAATTGAAGAGAAGCCTAATTCTACTTGCTAGAGGTTTTAGTATTGAAAATTAATCTCAGCACAATGATTTATCTAGTTCTTGGGAGCAAAGTATAATAAAAGGGTGCATACACAGAAAACTAAACAGAAATAGACTCAAACATCAATCTTTACATTCTTCTCTTTTATTTTGATACCATTAGTGTCTTTATGATATTATTAGACTGATATGTAGACACATACGATAACTTCATCAACAAATGTGTCACTGTGATACAAACCATGGCTTTAATTCCCTCAGGGTACATGAATCTGTTGTATAAACTATCCACAGTATCGTCAGGGAGAACCTCACACTCTCGCTGTAACAGTAAAGGCCCTGTATCCAAACCATCATCTGCCCAGAATACAGAAAGCCCTGCTTTTTTGTCTCCTTGGATAAGTGTCCTGAAAAAAAAAATTATAAACAATTATGAAAAATCTTCATTATAAACCTGAGTTATTCATTCTCAACTACAACTTTAACTCAAAATTTGACAACCTTATGCAATGAATTTCTTCCAAATGTATTAGATAACAAGAAAAAACATGGCAGCACTCGTAAGTTGAGTTGGATTTATTTAACACTCCACATAATCACCTTACAGATTAACTGTTTTACTTATCACTCATTTCTCAGGTTAACTGCAGTTAATACTTTATGTTGGATTGGTCTGTAATTATTTTATAAAGTTTTTGCAAGTATATTATTTAAGTCCCTACTTATTTACAAAGAATAAAATTTGAAATTCATAGTGAAACTTCTGCAATCACAAGTGATCACTGCGATAATAATTATCCAGGAATTATTAAGATTTATTAAAGAGAAACATACTACCCATTTATCTAAAAACAGTAATTAAATTCAATAAACCAGTAACAATCTAATTCACACGACTGGGTTGTACGTGTTTAGGGCTAATACAAAGACTATTGAAGTATGTCCTTTGTATTAGTTAATGATCTTTGATTATAACAAGTGCATGTTATGCATTTAGATCATCACAGTTTGGGTCCCACATTTAATATAGAAGGAAACCAACACAAAAGCATGCCTGCTTTTACTTAAAACTATATCTCAACTATCATGTATCTCTCCATATGATACTCTTATGAGGCTGTTAAAACATCATGTTACATAGTCTACATGGTAACATCATGCTTTCCCTGAGTGACTTGTGCCACCTACGTGACTGGTGATTCCCATTAGAAAATAAAGGAGGTTGTAACCTTGAGATATCATCTGACCAATCATTGGCGAAAACTGCTCTCTACTTTCATACACAAGTACAACTTTACAGCTATTTTCTCCCCATGAACAGGCGATGTGTTACCTCTGGGGGATGACACAGAACAACAGATAGTTAGAGTGAAGGTAACAACTTTCTTGACCATATGTTATGTAAAAACTGCAACTACACCTGAATAACTGACAAAAATTCTACGTTTGCATGGTATGTCTGCAAACCAAAATAGTAACAGCTCACCAGTTAACATACAGAGACAACTCCCCAGTTAACATACAGTAACAGCTCACCAGTTAACATACAGCAACAGCTCATCAGTTAAGGTACATGTACAGGTCAACAATTAATGTACAGTAACAGCTCACCAGTTAATGTGCAATTACTGGTCAACAGTTAACATACAGCAACAGGTCAAAAGTTAAGGTACAGTTACAGGTCAACAGTTAATGTAAAGTAACAGCTTGCGAGTTAATGTACAGTAACAGTTCATGACTTAGTGTACAGTAACAGTTTGTGAGCTAGTGTACATAAACTGACTACATTTCCCTGTAAATTAACTGGTGAGCTGTTAGTGTACAGTGACAACTCTTCAGTTAAGGTGTAGTCACTACTTCAAGTACAGTAACAGCTCACCTATTATGTACAGTGACACCAGTTAACGTACAGTAACAACTCATCAGTTATGTATAGTAACAACTCACCAGTTAATGTACAGTAACAGGTCACCAGTTAATGTACAGTTACAGGTCTCCAGTTAATGTACAGTTACAGTCTCCAGTTAATGTACAGTTAAAAGTCTCCAGTTAATGTACAGTGACACATCACCAGTTAATGTACAGTTAAAAGTCTCCAGTTAATGTACAGTGACACATCACCAGTTAATGTACAGTAACAGCTCACCAGTTATGTACAGTAACAGCTCACCAGTTAATGTACAGTAACAGCTCACCAGTTATGTACAGTAACAGCTCACCAGTTAATGTACAGTAACAGCTCACCAGTTAATGTACAGTAACAGCTCACCAGTTAATGTACAGTAACAGCTCACCAGTTAATGTACAGTGACACATCACCAGTTAATGTACAGTAACAACTCACCAGTTATGTATAGAAACAACTCACCAGTTAATGGATGATACACCTCTGTGGCGAGGAAGAAGGGAAGGATGATAAATTATTGATTGATACTTTGGATGATTAATTACTTCCATTGGAATAAACTGTGAACAGAATGGTAGGACATTTAATTCAGCATCTACCGACTTGTACTGTTCGACAACTTCTGGTATGGCCTGACCTTTCTGTCGCCAGCGAGGAAACTTGAAAACCTTCACCCCATCTTCTTTAGCAATGGTAGCTGAAACAATTTTAAATCTGAATCTATAAAACTGTTTAGTAAACGAAATATTAACATTTATTGTAATCATTAACAAAATTTTTTCATATCTATTAAATTCTCAAGAGTAATAAGATGAAAGAAAAAGTTTCCCCGAAAACACACCATCACCTTACCAAACATTAATTAAGGTTAATGTTTAGTAAACATATATATCTGGTCCTTAATGTAATGATCCATTTCTATGAATACCTGTACAAAAGTGTCCTTAATATAAGCAAAAAAAAAGGTCTACAAAGACTTCATAACATACCCTGTTGGCACCATACAGCATCTAATGCTTTCCCCTAACCCTTTACCAACATGATGCTGTAACCCATATTCTCATTATTACTAAAGAAGAATACAAGATTAGTGTATATCTAAACACACACTGAGATTTATTATGTTATTCCAATTTTTTATTATAGTGCAACTATTGTGATAGAATAACTTTATACAAAGGTCAAGGATGTCCACCTCTTAGGGTCGAGAGAGAGGTCATCAGTCAAATTATAATTACATTTCTACTTGAGAACAGCAGTGGCTTCAAAATATTAACACAAATTATTATTGTTTATAAATCACTGTGTGTACTGGGCAGGGGTACTGCTCTCGTTATGTATTATTGTTTATAAATCACTGTGTGTACTGGGCAGGGGTACTGCTCTCGTTATGTATTATTGTTTATAAATCACTGTGTACTGCTCTCGTTATGTATGATATGTGAATTCCATATTAATCGCTTGATGAAGACGGTCACAGAAACCACATTTTCCATATTAATCGCTTGATGAAGACGGTCACAGAAACCACATTTTCCATATTAATCGCTTGATGAAGACGGTCACAGAAACCACATTTTCCATATTAATCGCTTGATGAAGACGGTCACAGAAACCACATTCCATATTAATCGCTTGATGAAGACGGTCACAGAAACCACATTTTCCATATTAATCGCTTGATGAAGACGGTCACAGAAACCACATTTTCCATATTAATCGCTTGATGAAGACGGTCACAGAAACCACATTTTCCATATTAATCGCTTGATGAAGACGGTCACAGAAACCACAGTACAGTGGAATCTAGTGTATGTTTAATAATGATTGATAGAGGGATGATTCTACAGTAACAAAGAAGCTGTTTATTGTATTTAGTCATTCTATTTCAGTATTTGGTTAATTATTCAGTTGTGTTGGAGAACGAGAACTGTGTTGCCTTACCCGCAGGATCCTCCCTATTCCCCTTGTCAGGAATTGTAAAGACAGCAACGATTTCATGCCCATTTTGCTTCAGTAACTTGTACACCTCACCTGCAAACATGCTTTGTCCAATGATAGCAATCTTCATGTTTGCTACTTAAAGAAGAAGGCTGAAAGAAACAGAACTATGTATGGATAAAAAATATTTATTATAATTCCTTTGAAAAACTTGTTACTTTTAACCAAAGTTCTTAAAATAATTTGTTCTTTACCTGCAAGTTTACGTAAAATAAACAAGTACATACATTCAAGAAACCTATCCCGTTCATACCACAAGCAATTTGGTGTGATGAGAGCTTTACTAATGTAAACAGAACAAAAGGAAGTTTGTTTTTCTGCAATGGTAACAAATAACATATAGCCAACTAGACACTGTTTGGTCCTTCAAGGGTGTTCTTGCATGTCCACCTTTGCAAAAAATAAAAATTTAAACCATATGTTAAAATGGGATTTTCGACCTTTAAAGGATGCTGATGGGAATATTTCTTTGAAGACTATCACATGACTAAGCTTTTAACTATTTTCTTCTGTTTTTAGAAAAGGATAATATAACAGCAATATTCCTGAATCTTAAACATCCTATGGAATTGAGTTGAATGATGTAAATAATAATCTCCATGTGGTAAGTAGAAACATCAAGAGATTAAAGTTACATAAAACACCAGGGCCAGACAAGGTTTTCCCAAGGGTTTTAAAGGACATCAAAGATCAGATATGTGGGGAGATGTATGAGGATTGGAATGTTGCTTATTTTACTCCCATTTTTAACCAAACATGGAGTAAACTGGAACAACCCCATTTTGCAGAAGAGATGCTGACTGTGATTCTAAATTGACTACATGTATCTACAAAAAATGTGACAAGCTTTTAGTAAACTGGAGGAGTCTGTTGTACATAAAAAAGTAAAATGTGTTATAA